TAGAATAATTATAATTAATAAAATGAATTAATATACATTAGAAGATCTTATTTAATTATGCATATATAACATTCAATATATAAAGTTAGAATTTTTACATGATAAACATTAATATTGGACAGATTTTTTTTTAAAGTATGTAGCAGTGTATGAAACATACTATCTGCTTGCAGTATGAACTTTAAAGTATTATTATATAGTGGGTTTTTTAAAGCTTAGATTGATGTCAGGGGAAGATTCCGGCTTCTAGATATTTTACTTCATTACAGCCTAGTGTTCTGCTAAATGGCAAGTTCATGGACTGCTTTCTGATATGCTTGATTATTACATGACTTAGTGACATTTGCTGTGAATTTAGCTGTCTGCTGACTAGATTAACACTCAACTTTAAAAACCACAGCAAGCTAATTTGTACTGATATCTCACTTTTCTTTACCTGCAGAATTGGACTGGCTTAGTAACCCAAGCTTCTCTACGGAAGATGCACTATTACTGCATCAGCGCACTACAGAAGTTGCAAATCTCATCCCTGAAAAATCACCACTAATAAGGTAGAATATACTTCAATATTTTTTAAAATAGCCTTTCTTTTGTCCTGCTTATCTTTTGTTATGTGAAACCAAAATCAGGAGCTTTTAGGGCTGCTTTTCATTCCACTGTTCAGTATTTAAAAAGGCCTGAACTGAGTCATATATAAAAGTATGAATAATGCTTCCATGTCCTTTAACTTAACATAATGAGAAATTATACTTACACAATTACATTCCCATTTTCTTTTTCTCACAGCTGCATTTAAGTCATTGTTATTTCAGAATGGAAAGGGAACTGAGTGATCATGATTCTTCATTAGCTTTTGAATGTCCTAAGTGACCCTTGAAATAATGTAAAGATTAAGCATCATCTTTGTGATTTCTCTGTGAAAACCATTTCAATCAGCCATTTCAGTCAAGTTTTTCACTTTTCTAAAAACTAGTTGAAGATGTGAATTAATGAAATATTACATGTATCAAGTTGTGGGCCTCTGTAGAACATGCTGATCACTGAAGTGGGTGATTATATTCTTTTGCAAAAATGAGCTTTAAGCAGCCATGTTTGCTGAAGAACTAGTTTTAATACCTTCACTAGAATAGTTGCTATGCTTGGCATATCTACGCTGTAACTAGCACTTAATAATTAATGGAATCAAGTTGCAGTTGCCAAGTTCAAAAACTTAGTCACTTTTAATTTGGTACAAGCTCCAGTGTTTATGATGACTGTTGCTGGTCATGACAGAGAATGTCTTTATAATAACAATCACAGCTGAATACATCTTTTTGTGTACTTATTCTTACATTTACATGTATTTGTGATTGAAATGCAATCACTGTTCTGTTTATCAGTGATATATTCTGCTTATATTTCTTCAGATCTTTTCAGGACTTTAATGTCATAAAACTAAGGAATTTACAAATTACCATTCAGATAGAATGGCATACTAAACCCATCATATTTTATTAATCTTTGAAAAAGAATTTATCAAAAAATAGTGTACAGATAAACGTTTGTTTTCCCTATTACTAGAGTACATTCTCAGTTCAATAAAAACTAGTTACTCCAACATAGTTAATGGTTTGGGGGGGGGATTTAGGCTGGTTTTTTTGTTTTGGAGGAGTGTGTGTGTTTGTTTTAAAGGCCTGCTAATGGTTCTCCTATGGCTTCTCTTTTCTTGGTACCCTTAAATAAATTGTGTAAGGTTTAGGGTTTTTTTGAGGTGCCTTGTTTCTGAAACACTGCATTTTCTTTTATTGACATATTATAAATACTGAGACTTGTCACTCCTTTCTTTTATTAAAAGCTTCCAGAAAAGCTGTTTGAAAAGAGCTTGTGCTTTAATTAAGGGCTAGAGAAGACCTCCATTATTTCAGTTGATTATTAAGTATGGGAACGTATGTAGTATGTACAATGATAAACGTATCTTTTGCCAAAACTATCTGTCCTTTTTGTGATGTCTCAGTCAGTTGTCTGTTGCATGTACTGTTTGTTACTACATTATATCATATGATAACATTAATTCAGTAGTTATCAAAAGGTGTTCCTTGATTGATGAGATTTGAATTTCTAATCAGGAAATTATTTTAAAACTGTGTTTTTGATATTTCTTATATAAATCATAAAAAACAAGGAAAACAGTGCAGACTTTTTTCTTTCGCAGGTCACTGAAAGATTTCTTTTCCTTTTAGCTTGGTCTAAGTTGTCTTAGCAAAGTTAGGAAATTTTATCAGCCTAGTCATCTTCTTTAATTTGGCAATGATAACAGATGGATACTTATACAGATCACACATCAAAATGCCTTTGACAATTAAAATTTTCAAGGGCAGTTGTCAGTAATTCCAGCAGCTGAAAAAATAATTGTTATTTAAGGCAGATATATATCACTTTCATTGTATGTGTAGCTGTTAACTCTCTTCTCCAAAAATACAGGGAGAATAAAGGTAAAGGGTAAAATGATTCTGAACTTTCTTATGATGGTATTTCTTTACAGTTTTACTACTTAGATATATAGGTGTATATAGATACATACTTGTTTCCGAGCAGGACTACTTCAAGATCAGAGTTGTCAGGGGAACGTGATACAGATGAGAGTCTGAAACAGTCAAGTAAGAAAAGGAAAAAGAAAAAGAAGAAGCATCACCACTATAAGAAGACAAAAAAGAAAAACAAAGGGGACTCCAGTAGCAGCGAATCTGACCTGGACACTAAGCACATCAATGACAAAGCTGCAGGAAGTTCCAGAAATCATGAAAAGGAAGCAGCAGGAAAGTATGTATTTATTAATACTATGCAAGATGTAAGTTCATTTTGTTCTTGTACTTGTCTCTTCAACTGTATGAATGAAATTCTTACCACCCGTGGGTCATTTTTTTCTAAGCTATGTATGACTAAACCTGCATTCAAAGCAGTGAAAATAGAATTAGAACCACTTGTTTCATCATATCTGAAAAACTGTGACAAAAATATTCTGTGAAGTACTGTTCTGCAGAACAAAGCATGGTATGGTGGTAATGAAATGTATTTTTAAAGACAGATAGAGGCTTATGTTGAGTTTTTGTAAGCATCTTGTTTCCTTTCATGGATCTTCTTTTGGGAGAGTTTGGAGAAGGATTGCATTAAACATTATTCTTAATTAGTGCAAAAGTCTTAATATACAGCTGTGTTTGCCTTGTAATATAACTTCCTCCTCAGAGAGTTAACATTTCCTTTTTTCATATTAAGACAAAGTTTGTTGTATGATTTAACATTTCTTTTACGTCCAGCCATTTATTGCTATGTGCTTCATACTTCTTCCTCATTGTACATCTTGTTGGGTATTTGAACAATTTAAATTGTTTTGCTAGATCTTTTGTGTTAATTCCAGGAGCTCTAAAGTACTGTGTAATTAGTGGAAGTGTCATTTTTTATGGAACAAGAAAACAGGTATCTAGTGCCTAGCATGATCTTTGAGCAGTAAAAGAGGTTCTGAGTGTGCACTGAGTACTGTTTGGCATACCTAGCTGTACTTTTCTCAGTCTGTTGGGTTTTGATCATTTCATTCAAAGTGTAAGTCACCTTTCTGTGTTTCTCATCATGTTTGCTAGCTTGAGCAGCCATTTTGCCTTTCTCTGGTTCCCTAGTTCCTGGTTTTTTGTTAGCATCAGCAGCTGTGACTCTGATTCACAGCACTGCAGCTGCTCCTGGGGACAGAGTGAGGATTTGGTGATACTGAGGAATTGTTACAGCTGGGTGTAGTCCAGGCAGTCCTTGACTTTCCCCTAATTTACTACTTTTCCCAAGGCAGATTAACCAGGAGCTGAGAGCACAGGCTTGTGAGTATGTGTCTATGCCAAGGGATCTTAGCATTGTTTCCTCGTCAAAGAATGGTAGTGGTAATGGAGGTATTGTCTGATGCCTCTAGCCATGCTCACCTCCTCTCATATGAAGACTCTGTTATTGGCTTGTGGTGGCTAAGCTTACTTGGCTGTGAGGAAGCACAATAAAAATCATTGGGATGCTAAGACCATTCTGTCCTGCCCAGTCACCCTTGTCTTTGCTGGAAGGGTGGCTGGGCTGGATGGAACAGACTTATGTGCTGAACCTGGTGTATCAGCTGTTTGCTGTACTGGGCCAGCCAGCCAGTGCTTTGCCCAAATGAAAGGGCTGAAGTTCTTTCAGGGTGTCTGTTTTCACTTCTTTCCATAAACTGTTGATAGTGAGAGAATAGTGAGTTTTCAGGAGGCTGTTTTTGAAACCTGAGCCACAAAATTGCTGTAAATGCAATAGGTCTTGTGAAATTTTAGAAAGCTTCTCAAGACTATAAGACTTACTAAGTTACATATTTGTAACATGAATTCAGATTGGAAGTTCATAGTTGTTTACGGTTGGGAGGCAGGTGGCACTTCCTATTTAAGTTAATTTGTATAACTGTGTCCTGTTTTCGACTGGGATAGAGTTCATTTTCTTCCTAGTAGCTGGTATAGTGCTGTGTTTTGAATGTAGTATGAAAATAATGTTGATAACACACTGATGTTTTAGTTGTTGTTAAGCAGTGTTTACAATTAAGTCAAGGACTTTTCAGCTTCTCATACTGCCCCGCTAGCAAGGAGGCATGAGCCTTCTGCAGGAAGTGCACAAGAAGCTGGGAGGGGACACAACCAGGACAGCTGACCCCAACTGGCCAAAGGGATATTCCATGCCATATGACATCACACTCAGTATATAACTCAGGGGAAGCTGGCCGGGGGTTTATACCTCAGCTCGGGAACTAGCTGGACATCAGTGGTGTACGGGTGGTGAGCAATTGTGCTGTGCATCACTTATTTTGTATATTCTATTATTGTTATCTTCCTTTTCTATCCTATTGAACTGTTTTTATCTCAACCCATGAGTTTTACTTCTTTTTGATTCTCTCCCCCATCTCACTGAGGTGGAGAGAATGAGTGAGCGGCTGTGTGGTTGTTCTAGCTGCCAGCCAGGTTAAACCACAACAAACTGCAATCCATAAATCACTTTGATGCACACTGTTTTATTAAATGCATGGATATAATTGCAGGTAATCAACATAATCCTCTTACAGATTATCCTCTTTCTTGATTGTAGCATCTTATTAAGACAAAAGTAAAGTTTAAAAGTAGTAATATATGGCTTTCAAATTATAGTTTGTGAAGTAATTGATTGGTTAAATCTGGTTATTACCTTTCATAATCTTAAATCGAATTTTTGGAAGTGCAAGGAATGTTTGTGTTTTGGTTTGATGGTCGTATTAGCGTATTTGTTGGTTTTTTTTCTGAGCACGTGACTGACTTTGCAATAATGGATCGTATACCATGACTTTGAGTAAATTAATTTACTATGAACTACAGAAATGCAATGGGTTTTGTAAATGCTGAATGTGTGCACAAATGCTTAGAATATACTACTTCTCCTTTTTTGCAGTCTAGATAAGAAAACATCCAATCTTACCAGCAATCGCTTTGTTTGGCTTGATGATATCCAGACTTTGACAGCAGAAACCTTCAGAATAGACAAGAAATCAGACCCCACAAACTGGGCCTACAAATCCCTGTATCGAGGGGATATAGCAAGGTACAATATGTTGGCTTCTATTGGTATTCAAACTACCACAGAGTCACTGTCTCAAGATTCATTAACTTGAGTCTGGCTTTGAAATTTTTATGTAGAAGATGAGAAAATAAGACAACTGAACTGTTTATTTCAAAATTTGACTTTGCATTGGGCGTGAATATTTTAAAAGGCAAAAGATGCCATGAAATAATGGGAATAAAACATATGATTTTCATTTTTTCTGAAATTTTCTGTGTAGTAGACTGTAGGCACGTGAACTTGTAGAACTGCCATCTGGAGGTGGCAGCATGGGGCATATTAAAAACCGTGGGTTTGAGGTCAGAAATCCCAGGTTCTGTTACAGATCATCATTGGGTGAATGCCCCTTTTGATCTCTATTGTTCTCTTTCTGTGTCTGAAAGGGAAATGAAGGTACTAATTATTTCATACTAAGTTTCTCAAGAGGTTTACTTGAGTAGTTTGATATCCTTGCAAAAATACCTGTACAGCTACTTTCTTAGCAAACAGATTCTGTGTTAGATCACCCAGACATTGTACTAAAGGGTCTTATGCATTGCTGCATTTCAAATAAGCATAGATGAAATTGCGTACTGGTACTATGATGACCCTTCATAACATTTCCCTGTGTTAACAGAAGCCCATCTAAAGGAGCTTACATGGGGCTCATGCATTATGTATGTACACTTACTTCTTGATGTTCTCAAGGAAAATTGTTTATTATATATATAAAAATAATTATTTGTGGAGAAGGGAGGATTTATGGGGTTTATTTTTGTAGTGTATATACCTTTGCAGTAATATTACCTGGTTACAATCCATTCCAATTTTCTGCCACCTTTGGATTCTCAACTATTGTTTGAGATGAAAAGTCATATTTAACATTGCATGTCACTATGTCTGCCACTGAAATGACATTCTGGGTAATATTTTAAGATGGTATTTTCCTTTCTTAATCCATAGGGCTATTGTGGCCTTTATGAACCTGGTCTCTCTTTCCTCATCCCTACTCCTCTCCACCCATTTCTTGGCATATAAAATGTATAGAGGCTTAGGGATACAGAAAGGTACTACTGGACTGAACTACTGGTTTCTGATTTTTTCAGTTTAAGATAGTCTAATCTAAATAGCCTTAAATAATGCTGTCTGATGTTCTTTCTCCAGGTTTGTCTACATGGCTTAAAACAATAGAAGGAAAAAAAAAAAATTCTGCTGCTGAGTATGAAAGATACTGTTGAACTCAGAGGAAGCTTAGTATGATAATAAAAGTTGTGATGGCACTGAAAAAATACATAAATTGAAGTCTTAATTAAGGAGAAAGTTACCAAGTTCTTACACATTTGAAGGTCTATGTATACATTATTTGGGTCAATTTAAATCAAAGTACTTCTTCCATGCTTTCTTTCAAAAAGGAGATATCTTTTCTAACGTGTATTTTAGAAGATTTTTAATTGTATTTTTCCTTCTAAGGTATAAAAGGAAAGGGGAGTCCTGTCTTGGCATAGATGCAAAGAAACAGTGTATAACTTGGGACAGTTCTTCATCAAAAGGGAAGCAATTACAGAGGCGACCTGAGCGCTACTTCGCAAAGACCAATGTGAAGATGCTGAAGACAGATGGGATTCCTGTTTGCAATAAAAGTTCTCCATCTGACTCAACTGCTTTTATATCAGTTTTCCAAATGGAAACTGATGAGCCTTCTGACACAACGGAGGTAAATCCTCTTGGGATTTATGATCCATCAACTACAGTGTGGCTACAAGGAAAAGGGTGCAAGGATGCAGACCATGAGGTTGTAAATACGCAGCAAACAACTCAAGAGCCTGGGATAAACATTAACTCCATTCTAATAACAAAAGTGGAAGAACATAACAAGAAAGTCAGAGAAAACCCAAGAGATATTAATGCTTGGATGGAGTTTGTTTCTTTTCAGGTATGTGTTCTGACAGACCTGGTTGCTTATTATAAGTAATAAATAAATGACCATTATATTGTAGTTTCCTTTGTTTAGGACTATATGTCTTCTG